GGGGGGGGAATCGACCATGATACCACTAGTGATGAGTAATACTATATCCTCATTCATATACTGTACTGTATTGTGAACTCAGGAAGGAATTGATAGGCTGAGTGATCAAACAGGAGTATGTATAAAAGGGAGCAAAAATCTTAATATCATCTGTTATTATTGCTGTAACAATGATTTGCAGTTTCTTCATGTTTCTTTTGGAGATATAGTACTGTTACAAGGTATATAGCTTAATCTGAGGAGTCAAAGAGTGATGGGCATGGGTTGTTAACAGTACTTCTATGATAATTATACTTTTCCCTGAATGAGGACAATTAGAGTTGCGCATGCTTTGAAAACAATTTAGAAAAAGTGATCTGGAATTTACATTAGCACGTCTACTCTTCATTAAGGGAGACTTCCATGGAAATCTGAAAGAAGATGTGGAATCATTAATAAATGAACTCATTAATGCAGCTGCAGTGTTAATTCTATCTTAATGTGCATGATGTATTTCAGTGCATCTTAATGTGCGTGCCGTGCTTGAGCTTCTTATGAAAGACTTGAGTCAAATCATTTTCAAAGTGTGTACAACCTTATACTGATTATAACTGTGCTGGTGCTTTCCTAACACTGATGGTTTATCCATTAAGTTGATCACACACTTCCCAGGTTCAGCAACTTGAATTTTATAGAGTGAGCCTTGACATGCTATGAAAGTGGGAAAAGAATGTGCATTAATGCCATAAAAATGGTACAGGTCTATGCTTTTGATGGCTGAATACCACTGAACAGCAGCTATGTCGATTGATTAGAAAACAAATCTCACCTGTAGAATCAAAGCATTGTTGAAAACCACATGGGTCATTAATACACATTAGTTTTACTTCAATTTTATTGTAGATTTTAAGTACTGTAGTTTGTTTTTTCCTCATTACTGCCCCCTTTAGGAATAGTAAAGAATAATAAATGAAAAGAAAAGAATAGACAGTGATCTCATTTCTAAGTTAAACATATGGTCTTGATATAGTAAATGTTCATCTTTTAATACATTGCTCAAGAGCATTCTGCAGTATAGACACCCAGTACCCTGCTGTGTTCAAACAGTTTTCTCCTAAGGAATCTACTCATTTATCTGCTGAGAAACCTCTGTTCGTCTGCCAGCAACCAAGACCTGTTCAGTCTACCTATTTTCTGTAAGAACCTGGACTCAGTCTTGAGTTTAGCACTCCTTTGCAATTGCAAATTATAGGTACTGATTTATTATGACAAACAAGCTTTTTTGGAACAATCCTTTCATCCTTTGTCCCAGCAAGTATAAACTTTAACAACTTATCACCATCTCTTAAAATGCAACAACAATCTCTTCATTCCATATCTCACCTCATTCTCTACAAACAAATCCTTAAAGCCTCATCATCCATCCTAATCAGCAAAATTCCATCAGGGGTTACCAGAAATAACCATATATCTATTATAAACTTGATCTAATAAACCCACTTGAATTCCTTCCTTTTACATTTATATCTCATATTCTATTTTAAACAGATCCCCCAAACCTCATCATTCAAATCTAATCAGTAAAAATCCAATAAAAGTTACCAGAGATAGCAACAAAACTGTTTTAATCTTAATGAAATAAATTTAAAATGCAACATATAACCTCTTTCCCATATAACACTTATCTATAAACAAAATCTTAAAACATCATCATCCAGTCCTGGTTAAAAAAAAAAAAATCTATTAAAGATTGCCAGAGATAGCAACCTATCTGTTTTAACCTTGGCTACATAATCTAACTTGATATTCCTTCCCCTTACTCCCAACAATCTTGGCCTTTAGTCCCTTCAAATAATGTCCTGATCCTTGGTTTCTTTTCATTTTCTCTTTGTCTTTTCTCACATATCTCTGACAACATTAACAAGTCCCTTTTGTAGATCCAATATAAAAAGGTTATCCAAGTCACCCTTCTGGTCTCTTATTTGTATGTCTTTTTAGTTATTAAAACATCAGCCAGTTTCATTTGTATATACAGTATTTCATCTTTTCCCATACCCTTCTTATAGGCTGTCATTTTTAAGTCCATATTTGAATAATTTCAGCCTTGTTCAGTAAAACTTTTTCATCTTCCATAACATCATTTAGTCTCCAGTAATGGCAGAGATCCTTAAAACTAACTTCTGAGTCTATTGCTCACAAATATCTCTCAATACATCCATTGTTTTATTTCCTTCTGGTGCCCTCTAGTATCCAACCTTCAAAGTCCCATTGTATCATGTTGCTTTTCTTCCAAATGCAAAAACATGAATAGTTTCCCATGGGAAGGTTTCTTATATTTAATTTCCAAATTTTGTTAAATCCATCTGCACCTTAGTCCATTTATAACTTTCTAAAATCAACACTCTAATCACCCTTTGGCTGTTAATTCTATAAAAAAAACCCCTTAAACTCGTACTTAAAACTTTTTTCATAAAGAATTGAAGGAAATTCACTCAGTGAATACCATACAACCTGCTGTTCCAGAAGTTCTCTATATTTAAAAAGTCATAAAAAATTAATTCCAAAGTGATTAAGAAACGAGGATTGGCCGAACCTTGAATCTATAAAGGCTATATTACAACTATGAGCTTAAATGGAATCCCAGCCACTCAACTCACATGTAGATTGCAAAAATGTCGGTTCCTGCCATCTACTCATGAGAAGCAGCTGTCTGAAGTACATGTGGGTGATCTCATGATCTGTCCTTTCTATAGAGAGATTTCGCCGGCCTGGATCCTGCATCCGGCCGTGGATTTCAGCTATAATGTCATCCTCGCTTCTTCAGGGATGGCTTCAGGTCACCATGTCCTCACTGGAAGTCCAGAAGGGAGGGTTTTTAAAGCATTTGTGAAAATATTAGGAAAAAATCCCTATAGAAAATAATAAGAACACATTGTTAGGTGTGTTTAATCTCTCCAAAGCTCAGGGACTTTTACTTCAATGGCAAAAATCTTTTCATTACTTTAAGTAACACTGAGGCACTGAGACAGTACTTTAACAAGACACAATATTTTTTTCTTTAACAAACCTTTTAATTAGTGCCTTTTTCAGCCTAAGAAACTGGATGGTTAGGTAGACACTTACTGAAATTCCTTCATTTCAGTGGAATTTCTTAATTTATTTAAGTATTAAGATATGACTTGTTTTTTGGTGTTTTTTTTGTAGGCATTGCCACTTCACCTACTTTGCAAAATCATGTAACACAAGTGGCACGCTCTTTTTTTAGCCTGACTTCTAGGGAATGTACAGTAAAAAACTGTGTTGCTCTTTGCTGGTTTTTTTGCTTGCACATCGATTGGCTATGTCAGCAAACAAAAACAAACAAAAAGGCAGTGAAAGGGCTGCTGATTCTTCTCAACTACAAAAGTAACCTTAACTTTAAAACAACAGCTTAAAGAGTACACACACAATCATTTGTTGAGCTGCGATGTGTATCCTCTACGTATATTTGAATGTCTTATTTTTACATTTTTAAATGCATCCTGAAAAATCATCATCAACGAAAAACACTGAGGAAGCCAACTAAAGCAACAAACCAACAAAACAATGTTATAATAATAGTCCTTGTGTTTATACAGCCCAAGTAGCATTAATAACATTTGGGTGTATATGTGCATAATAACATGCACACATGCATGCACATCTAAAAGAGCACTAACTTTTCAGGCAAACTAATAGGAAGGAGTTGTGGTTAGATATCTTCTGTCTGGTCATCTGCTTGACTGTTGCCCTTTCACTTACATTCCACTCCCACATCACCCCATCTAGTCTAGGCAATAGCAATATGGACATAAATGGCCCCAATGTTCTGTTGCTTAAGTTGAAAAAGTCAATCTAGTGACAATATGTGAAGCAGCCTAGCTGCAGTGGTTGGAAGAGACAACAGAAATGGCCAAGTTTGTTCTCAGAGTTGAACAAAAAAAATCCGTATTATTCAAAACAAAGCTCTTGAAATATGTACTGTATGCTATGCTTCTAACTTGAAATGAGCAGATCAGCAGTTTAAGGCTGGAAAGTTTTGCACATCCATATGGTGGAATTAGCTGATAGTCTTGATCCATATTTCCTTTTATGCAGCAGCTCTTAAAAACAAGTAATTGCACAATAAATTCTGCACATCCGTATTTGTCAAAGAAAAGGCTGGTATAACCAGACTATTCATCCTTGTCAAGCAAGTGATTACATCTTTTGGAACTGATAGCACAGATCTGCTGTTAGGGATTTATATGCCTGGGTTCATCTATCAAGGATGTACTGTAGATCTTGGACAGCAGGCATGGGAGCTGTGACTGTGTGCTTGTACTTTAAAGCCAAATAGTAGAAGGACTTCTTTGAACAGATGAAAACACAAAGTGAAATCTCAGATTCCGTTATGTAGGTACTGAGTACCTATGTTAAAGTAGTATACAAGTTTAATGATGTATGAGAATATGTCCTATGTTCAAGTTCCATTCAGGTAAGTAATTTATATATTATTTCTTTTGTACTGTTAATGCTATTTTGATTGGCTGGAATAGCATTAAGTGTATGTAACCATCATTTTATCTTCATAACTAAGCCTAGTCATACCTATAGATGAATGTAGAATGATAGTTACATCTGACATCTCTGCAGTTGTTAGAATGGCTGATGGATCCACTTGCATCTTTGAACTGTCTTATAGTGAAACCTTTAAAAAAATTAATTTGTGATGGAAGTTCCCTGCTGAATGAATTTTAGCCTTTCCTGATTTAAAATTGGGAACCAATCAGATTATCATCAATTTTGATATCATAAATCCATGATTTTATGTATTTCACTATAAACAGATTTTGCTGTGATTCTAATCAACATGGAAGCTTATGCAATTTGCCTGGCTGTAGGATGTTTGTCACATCCTAATTCTTCCTTTGCTTACCTTTGCGAGAACTTAACTGATGCATTTAAAATGCATTATATTTTCCTTCTTGCTGCATTGTTTTTTCTCTTCTTTTGTGTTGTAGGATCAGGATATTCAACAATAGAAGATGATGAAGATGTGTATGCACGCAATAGATATAAAGGTGAATGCTTTGCTTATGTACTAATGAGGATCACCTGTTGCCAAGAGAGCTTTTTTCTTTTCCTGCTTGGAGCATGAAAGCTTAGGTCTGTACCAGCCAATTTTTGTACAATTTGTTTTATTATATGTTGTGAACAGTTTATTCAAATTTCACAGTAATCGGAATCTTAATTTAAGCCCTACATCACGGTTACTTTGTTTTAATCCATATTTCCCCACTATATATAGTCTGCTTTTCAATGATATATTCAAACAAGCTTAAATGTTTACTATCATATAAAATATAATTGTGCACAATTCACACAACATATTTCAAAGATACCTTATCAATAATTGTTTTTTTTTTAATCTTCGCCATGCCTGCCTTTTTAGCAGAAATAACATCCCAGTGTCTTTTGTTCTGATTTTATACAGTGTGAAAAAGCTAACGTGATTAAAAAGAAAGAGAATGGACATCAATCATTACGTTGTTTATTTGTTTTTTTAAATAGCCAAGTTATTCAGAAAGAGGATAGTAAGATCCATAATTCAAAAAGCAAGGAGCAAGTCATGTGTATTGTTAACAAAGTATAAAGCAGAGCTCTCAAACCATTGATTGATTGATTAAATGCCATCAAGCCAGTGTTGAGTCTCAGCAACCACAGAGCTCTCCAAGATGATCTGTCTTTAACTTTACCATTTTGGTCTCTCAGAGATGCAGTAATTGCTGTTATAATCAAGTCCTTCCACCTTGCTGCTACTCCTTCAACGTTTGCCAGCATTATGGACTTCTTAAGGGATCTGAGTCTTCCATAGTGTGTCTAAAATATGAAAATTTGTGCCTGGTCATTTGTGCCTCAAGTGAACATTGGATTGATTTTTTTTATGTTCCATTTGTTTGTTTTCCTGACTATCCATGGTATCTTCAAGAATCTTCTCCAGGACCAAAGTTGAGAATCATTACCAAGTGCCAGATGAGTAATTTGTTCATTAATCCAAGGGCCACAACATTGAAGCCTTTTCATATATGGATACAGAAGTTTCTAGTGAGTTAGAAATGAAGAAAATCTCATTGAATAAAGCATAGCATTGTACTTTCATTTCTGAAAATATGTTCACAACAGTGTTGAAGTTGAGTGCTTTAGCTCTTTCTTTTTTGTTACTTAGTACGCTAAGTCCTCGTTTTTACTATATCATCCAGTTCATTCAGTAAACCATGTGTATTACTTGACCTAAGTGATACAATAGTATTAGCATATCTGCCAACATATCAAACTAAAAAATTAGAACATGGTTTATAGAGTGCACCACTTAATTATTTATGCTCCTACTTCCATCAAATTCTAAAGTGACTGATGCAATCGTTTGCATATTTTGCCGAGCTTCCCATACTCCATCTAAGATTGTCATCTCATGCAGACATGATTTAAACACCAGTAATATTTTTCTTCTCATCTTGAAAACTTGAAAGCTTGCAATTATTTCATAAATCTTCAGTTGCCTTTTAAAACAGGCTTTGCCTCTGTAGGGACTTTTGTCCTCTATCCCCTACCCAAATTGTCAATGCTGCTATAGAAGGATTGAGCTCTCTCTCCTGTGATCATGGAAGAAGGGACAGTGCCCTTCGTGCTCAGCCTTTAGGCAGAGAAGCAGTTGGTTGAGCCAGAAAAGAGCACACAAGATGTGTTGCTCATAGTTTGCTTATGGAGACAGCTATTGTGGCATGTGTCCCATGGTTGCAAAATAGAGATTCAAACAAAGCATGCCAGGTAAATGGAAGAGACTTCAAGTAAGGAATTTTCTTATAGATAATATCAGTGAACTCATATCTAGGAAACTTAGTGCCCTCCAATTCCAATAATACTTGCTGGGGCTGAAGGAAGCTAAAAGCTTGCATACTCTTTTATTAACTCATGTGCAGATGATGACACCAATGAATTATTAGATAGATGTGCTCTCTTTCCACCTCTCTCAGGGCAGCATAGATAACACTCCCCCTCCACTTTTATCCCACCAACTAAGATAAATAGGTTGAAATAGACTGGACTGAGAGATGGCAAGTGGCCCAAAGTGATCCAATCAGATTCTGTAACTGTTGGTGGATTTGACCCAGCCAGACTCCTAACTGAGGAAACCTGTTAGAATGGTCAAACTTAACTTATGGACGTGGCACTGGTGACTGGTAGGCTTGAGACCAAATTCAAAGTGCTGACTATTATGTATAAAGCCCAGATTACATCATCCAACCTGTCATCAAGAGAGGGCTTGCTGTGTGAAGGAAGCAGACCAGAAAGTAGCCTTTTTTGTGGCAGCCCTCCTAACATGGAACCTGCAGCCCCTGGAGGTTCTTGTAGCCCCTACCCTTTGCAAAAGGCACGTAAACCATTCTTTTCCACGGGACCTTTGGGCTCTGAGCAGTCATCTAGTTGTCCTTATGCTTATCTTTGTTTTTAAATGTTTCTTATTACTGTGGATGCCACAGCAAGTCTGAAGACTGGGGAGTTTTATAAATGCTGTAAAAAAAGCAAGGATGGTTTAGTGTATAGTTTATGCTAATTAATAAATATGTATTAATATTTAGTATCCTAAATCTCCATAGTATCTTGTTAGTCAGCTTATTCATCTTTAGTATGTCAGAATCTAATGATGTTGAAAAAGGCTTCAGAAACTAACTGCTCATTGAAGAGATGAATACTGATTGTGAACAGGATGATCACTGCCAGGGAATCAATATGAAGAATAGACTTCTTGTTTCTTCTTCTTTCAAAATGTGCTTGAAATATTAGATGAAGGTGCAATTCTTGCAGATGTTTAGGCAAAATGTATGTTTCAATTAATCCCTAAGTTAACGAAAGCTGACACAACCTCTACATAGATTAAACATTTTAATTTATGCAAATTGTAAGTTATGCAAATACTGGTTGAAAGGTAATGAGTAAAATATGTTGTTATGTCAGCCTGGCAAGGTAGTCCAGACAGGGAGCATGACCAGATGGACTAATTCTACTTTGTTATAAGTTTACATTAACAGAATCTTGCAAGTCTGAAAGTACATTTCTTCCCCTTCGCCTTTACAGCCCAAGAAACTAGGGAGGGTCCCTTCTGAGATATACGCCACGTCCACATTCCTTTTGCAGGCTAAGCTGCCTCTTGTCTGACTGTTCTCCTGACTGTGGCTCTCTCCCCTGTCTCCCAAGGTCATTCCCAGATAACATTACCTCTTGTAAGAAATGAATGTTTATTGAAAAATAGCAAAAAATGGCTGTGGATGAGAGCACACTTCTCGCTTTGCTATATGAACATGAGAGTTGGTTATGTCAGGAGAAACAAAATAAGTTGAACAGGGTATTCAAGAAGTCTATGTGGTTGTCTGGTTAAGATCTCACAATACACCTCTTCATGGTCTCCACTTGAAGTGATTACTGAGGATTGGAGTATTCTGTGGATAAGTCCCAGAGCAGACAATATGCTTCAGGGTAGAAGCTTCCTGTGGGATCTGATAGGCTTTGGTTTCTAATTGCTTCAGTGTATGGAATAGTTACTGCCCATGCAGAGAAAAAGTCATGAGCAAAGTTAATTGGAGAGCAGAAAGAATTTTACTTCTTTGTGTGTGTGTGTGTGTGAGAGAGAGAGAGAGAGAGAGACAGAGAGAGGGAGAGAGAGAGAGAGAGAGAGAGAACTTAACAAAAAGAATTATAAGTACGCCAAGAAAGTAAATTAAGGAAACAATGCACAGTATAGCAATTAGCAAGCTTTGATATCATATACCCATTTATAAATTCCGAGCCTTAAATTTTAATATAATCCCACAACAATATATGCATGGTCTTACCCACTTTAAAGCACAGCTGCAGGCAAGTGGGGAGAGAGTTTGAGGATGAAGTTACATTCTCTCTATGGTCCCTCTTCCTGTTTTGGGGTTGGTCCTTTTCATGTGTGAGGGCCTCTCTCCCAAGTGTTTTTCACCCTTGAACTATTAACTTGAGTCGAGTTGATGCCTCAAGCCAGAAGTCAAGTTGACTTCTGGCTGAGTTTGCTATCTGTGTTTTGTCTCACGTTAGGGCTTTGCAGATTAACAGTTTATTATCAGCAGCCTGCACTGGAGGTTTGTGAGTAACCCACAAAGCACTCTGCTTCCAGACTCCTCTTTTCTAGAAAGCGGCATGCAGGACCAACTGGCTGATGCAACACTGAATGAGCTGATAAATTGTCTTTTGAACATGATCTACTGACATGGTAAAACAGGAAGAGACAAGGTAAAAAAATGAGTGGGTGATTAATTAATTTGATTTGAATACAAGAGTGAGTGACCACCACGAGAGAAGTACATTGAGATGGTTTGGTCATGCAGAAAAAACAAACGAGGGTCAAATCTCAAAATGAATGGGAAGGAAGAATGCTAAGGTTAAAGGAAGGAGAAAACAGAATGTTGCAGTTGGATGATTACCGAAAACAGGGAGATGAGAAATTTAAAGGGCAAAAGGCAATGTATGAATCATGTTGTGAATGTGGTAGAATAAGAGATGGTTTGCAAGGATCAAATGCTATGGAGAGCTATTGTGATACTATTGTTATAAAGTAGATTAGATACTTTTCCTATTGTTTTCTCTCTTGTCTTTATTTTGCTTACTTCTTACTGTTTTTTTTTTTTTTTTTGGTATTCATTGCCTAATGTTGTTCGTCCCAAGAAAGAATACCATGAGACATACAGTATACAAGTATACTGAAAATACTGAATTTTTTTGGTGCTTATCTCACTATCTAAAAATTCTGATGCACCAAATTTCCTCAGTCTGATGCTGTCCAAATGACTTCCAGGATTCTTGGGCAATGTTTGTTGGCTGGGAGTTGCTTTCCTCATGCATTTGGAGGGTGTCACAGTGAAGAAAACTATAATACCCACAGCCTTCTTCTGTGTAATAATCTTGATGCAACTTGCATCTCCTCTCTCTGTTTTCTGTAGATGTGTTCACAGAAGGTTTTGGCATGTGGACCATTTTTTTTCCCATTCCTTTTCCTGGGGTGTTGTTTAAACTAGATTGCCTTGGTGAGATACACTGTTGACACAGAGGTTCATATGGATGGATGGATGGATTTGTTTTTTGTATAATCACTGTCATAGGTTTCTCAGCAATACACAAAAAGCTTAAAACATCCTTGGTAAAATAAGAGACATATAGTTAAAATCAAGGCAATTAGCATGCATTCTAAAAACAGAGCAGTATATAAGGATCAAAGAATGTGGTTTCCTCAATTAATTTTTAAAAAGTCTCTAGAAGAATTCCTTCCTAACTTGTTTCTGGAAGCCCAACAGTGTCAGGGCATGTCTAATTTCCAGGGAAAGGCTGCTCAATAACATGGGGCCATGATGGGAGTTGCTTCTTCCTGGACTTAGCCTCCTTGATTTCTCAGAAGCTGGGAATTACAAGCAATTTTTCCTGGACAAGCCAGTTGTAATTGAAGGGGGCAGTCCTGCGGGTACCTCAGTGCCAAGCCATGTAGTTGTATTACATATCTTGTATAGATTGAATATCAAAATTCTCTCTTTCACGTGCACCTCTTTTAATTTTTCTCCCTGGCGTATATGGTGTTCATGTCAAAAAATTCAGTGAGCCAGTCACTGATCGAATGAGACTTGGCTTAAATAAGTTCCTTTTGAGATAGCAACTGTTAAATATTTGGGAAAATAGAGTCAACTGGAATCACACAGCTGTGAAAGTTAAAACTTCAGCATTGTACTCTAATTTTAATTTGGCTTAAAAGAGAAGAATTAAAGTTTTTGTTTTATTTTTGAAGAACAGAGTAGAAAGCATACATGGAACTAATATAGTCAATGGTTTTAAAGGAAATATTTTCTGTAAAATAAAAGGAGAAATGGGGTATTGTTATACTTGTCCATTTATTTCAGTAGATCATATTCTTAGTAAAGTAAGTATAGGATTGCAATCTTTAAAAAGTAAATTTTAAGCAACATTTACAGATAACATTTTATCCATTTTTGGTGCAAATTCAATCCACTTTCTTTCTGAAAGAGGAAAAAAAAAATCTTAATTATGGTAACTGGCCAGTTGGTGGCAGACTTATCCCACAGCAGGAAACTGAGGAGGCAGTCCTCCTTGCAAATTGTTGATTTTAATAGTTCAGTATTGTGCAATTTTTAATATAATAGTTAATTCATGCAACATACAGGGAAAGCGATAGTTGTCAGTTCTATAACTTTGGAGAGTGAGGCCTTTGGATCATGTAGCTTCTGTTTCCCTGTGTAATTTTATATTCTTGTTTTTCCCCACTTGAACTCCATAGTTAAATTAATTCTACAGTTCTTATTCTTTCATTTCTTGGTTTTCATCTTGTGGTTTCTCTTCCTAGATACACCATGGTGCTCCCCTATCAAGGTGAAATATGGCTATGCAAATTGCAGAAGTCCTCAGGAGGGGTATTACAGAAATGTCTTGGGGACCAAATGTGATATTCGTTGTCAGAAAGGTTATGAACTACATGGTCCTCAGGAGCTTATTTGCCAGTCAAACAAACGCTGGTCTGGGAAAGTTCTCTGCAAACGTAAGTGGCTCATTTTTTTCTGAAGGTTTGCTTTCAACTTCACTTGCTTCTGATCCTGTTGTTTATGATCATATAGAATTGAATTTTAGTGGAGCTCTTATTAGTCAATGTTTTAGCAGGGTAGAAATTAGTTCTTAGCTCATATGGGTTTGAAGAAGCCCAAACCAAGAGATGAAACAGCAACTTTTAGGAAAGTAAAGTTTTTTTATGCTGGTTGAAACAGTTGATAGTGTTCAACTTCATACAATGGAATACGTTTTTTAAGTCTCCCTATTCATTTCAAAAGGAAGAATTTGTGTAGGGTTTTTTTAGCTGCATTGGCAATATTAATGGAATGTAATTAATTAATTTCATTTACGTCTCTGTATGGTTATGTAGGCTCCTTTAAATATATGCACATATAACTTTAAGGATTTATTATGAATGGAAGTGTAATCCGTGTAGCTTTTATAAAGAAAATTATACAGTCTTTTTTTTTTTAGCTTTCCATGAGAAAGGAATTGCATGAAATACATAGCAATAAATATAAACACTGATACTAAAAAGACAAAGGAAGGGATTTCAGACTTTAATAAGAAACATAAATCAGCTGTTTTTTTTCTTGCAGTGGTTTTGTAGATATTTTGGTCCCTTGTTTCTCTTTGTTCCTGACCATCCATGCGGCACTTCATGTAAAATGAAGGCAATAGTAAAATTATTTCCTGTTCAAAACTCAGTTTCTTTATGCAAAATCACCCACTTTTTGCTTCTATATGTTGCAAATATAGCCATATTTAATTTTCACAGAGAATTACAAAGGACAGATTTCAGAATTTTCAATATATCTCTGCTCCCATGGCCCAGTTTAACCCAGATTTACTCTAGATATAGTCATGCACAAATAAGAACACCTCCATAAGCTACCTTCAGGACTCCACCAGCAGAATGACTTGAGGAAGTCACCCACTATAAGTGAAGGTAAATGGATCCACCCAGAGAAACTGGGTGGATTGTTTGGAAAGTTTAGCACATCTTCCCTAACCATGGCAATTCACCCTTCCCCTAGCAACCAGTCATCTCACACTATCCAGGAGACCCTCTGACTTTCCAGTAATAATTGGAGGGTTAGAGTAAATTCTAGTTACTAAAACCAAAGTTACTGCACACGTCACCTCCTCAATTGGTGAAGCAAAGCCTCCAAATCCTTTTGTACACTGATAACACAATGCTTCTATCACATTCTCAAATTGTGCTTAGTAGGGCCCTGAGGAGTTTTTTTGTATAGTATTGTAGAGAAAAGAATCTGCAAATGAACTACCACAGGCAAAGTTAATGCTCTTTTTAATCTAGGGGGAAGCAGGCCATACTTTTAAAGCTTTGCTCCCTTGATCTCTTCCCAGAATTTTACTGGGGAGAGATCAAACACGAGCAAACCAAAGTGGCAGTTAAGACAGTGATTTGAAGACATAGCTCACCAAAAAGAATGAGGCTCACAGAGAAACATAAGAGTTTACAAATACCTACCAGGAGGGCCTGTCAGCTATCTCTCCCTCTATTCCCCAGACACAGGAGAACATTTACTAAGATAAAGTTTGTTGTTCTTCCTTTGGCTGTCTTACAAGGCAGATTCTCTATAAGAAATCCATCTGACCTTATGGACTGGAAATGATAGACAATGCTACTCATGTTTTATTCCCCTGTACCCTCTACAAAAATTACTACACCAAGTACATTACAACTTTTCTGTTGCATCACCCAGGCCGATCAGACCACTTCTGTGTCCCTGTATTGCTTTCATACAAAAATGACTTTGCTACACATGATGTTGCAAAATGCAGTTCAGTATAACGTAGAGTCTGATATGAAGTAACATAATCATGTCTTCAATGATTAATGTTGATTTTCTCTTGCAGAAAAACGTTGCCCAACACTTTCCATGCCACCTAATGGAGGATTCAAGTGTGTAGATGGTGCATACTTTAATTCCAGGTGTGAGTATTTTTGTTCACCAGGATATCAGTTAAAAGGAGATCAAGTAGTACAATGTATGGATAACAAAGTCTGGAGCGGAAGACCAGCTTCTTGTGTTGGTAAGTTGAAAATCATGATGATACACCATTGCATTTGGAGAGTAGTGAAAGATATGCAAAAGGCAATGAATACAGTTGCTCACAAGTGTACTTTCTGGCACTGTTACACAGTTTCCTAAGGATCAAAAGATTATAATGCAGCCAAAATGAGGCTCAAAATGCAAATTGTGTCCCTGTCTCCTAATGAAAATGGCTAAACACAAATGAGGGCCATTATCATGCCTCCATTGTGTTATCATTGAGACAAAGCAGTTGTATTTCTCTGCATTTATTGCATCCTAAATTAGGTATCCAACAGAGCTTTTCTGAATATTTAATAGGCTATTCAAATTGGAGCAATTAGAGAGAGACAGAAAATGACAATGTGATATAGTTGTTAGAATATTAAACAAGTACAGTATACAGAAGACTTATATTCAAATCTACATTCCTCTCTGAAATTTAGTGAACTCAGGCAAATCATGATTTCTAAACCCAGCTTTCATAATGATAAAATTGACAGAGGATGGCACAGAATCACATAAGCCACAGTAAGTTCTCTAGAAGGAAGGACAGAATAAAAAAAAAAATGTTGGAGAGGCAATCACTGAACATAGATGCTACTTCTCAGCCTTTTGGCTAACATCAAGCATACATAATTTCAACCATTTTTCAATCGGTCTGGTATTGATGGAAAGCTGTCTACTGTCAAACTAGCATAGCTGCATGGGGCTTCTTTACATATAAAACCATACATTCCTGCCTTCTGTGAATTTGGGTTGTGTTTATCTAGTAATTGTTTCTATGCAGTTACAATGGCCTAGAACATTCTGGTCAGGCAAGAAGTATTTGCAGATCCAGGAGAGCCTTGAGATACAGTTCCTATAGTAACACAGGGTCATTATGTTAAGGTAACTGAAATTCATAACGAAATAGAAACTCTTACGCTTTATTATTTAGTGAGAGGATCCTGAAACATTGAATAGTCCAGAAACTGTTCCATTCTTTTTTTATTAATTTCAGTTTATTATTATTAGGGACTGCCTTATTTACAGGGATTGCCTGTTCTTTGAGCAGTGCATTTTAAAAGGTTGCCCAATCCATTTATCATCAGCAAAAGTTTTTGTCAACTGGCATTAAGAACATTTGCAGTTGTGTACAGGATCACCAGCTTCAGTTTACTGATGATTGATTCATTTGCCTTAAGCAGGAAGAAAATGTTATAGTGCAAAGTGTTGGGGGTTTTTTAAGAAAAAGGGACAGTAGTATTCATAGGCCTTAATGTCTTTATATATTCCATTTTTGACAAAAGTATTTATAAACCAATTTGATGTGTACAAAAGAATATGAGGCTATATGGTTCCAGGCTATACATACTATTATTGGGAACACGGTGCCTTTCAGTCAAAAAAGGAGACACAGAATGAAGTTGCACACAATTGCAATTAGATGAACAAATGCAAGCAAAATATTTAAAAATCTCTGGATGTAGCTGCCCCTAGACATGCAAATGGAACTTTAAAGCTTTAATCTGCTAGTCTTCCCAAACACTTTTTAAAAATTACAATCTTTCCTCACTTGCGTCAATCTACTTCAAAATCAAGACCAGATTTTTGAAATTTAGTATAATTGTAACCAAACATATATTGGTTGTTACTGTTGTGAAGTATGCAGTGTTTTAGTTTATTGCAGTCTTACTTGTAATGACTATCTATAGAGATACCAAGTTCAGCACTATTTTTCCTTTCCAGGTATTAAACAAAAAATAAACATAGATTTTAAGTTGTTGATGGAAAAAATATTTCATGAATGATGGAAAATGAAAAAAAATATTTTAGAGAGGCGGGGTTGCCAATTATAATGCAGTAAAAAACTGAAGTGTAACTTTGAGTAGAGTAACTTTGTATAGAAAAAGCTATACTTTTCACAAAATAAGAATTTTGAAAAGCACAGATAGCTAAAATTGAAGAAGGGTAGGCAAGAAATAACTTTATGTGAAACATTTTATTGCTTTGTTCTTAATCTCAGATAGTTCTCCGGTATTTTAGATAATATTATTACTGGCATCGTTTTAATATTAATATTTAATGGATGAATTGTAACTGTCCTGATAGCAGTTTGATAATGTGGCTTAATGTTTTTACTATTGTCTGAAAATGTGCTATGCTTCAGGAACAGTAGCTTAAAACAAATCACTATGTTACTGTGTGTTTTTATTTACAGACATGGAACCTCCAAGAATTCAGTGCCCAAGTGTAAAGGAGAGGGTAGCAGAACCCAATAAATTAACATCCCGGGTATTCTGGGACACTCCAGAGGGACGAGATACTGCTGATGGCATTTTGACTGAGTGAGTAAAGATGTATGGTTAAACAATAAATTGAAAGTATATAAACTTAAAAGGTGTATATGAAACACACTTTTTAAGTTTATACACCTTTGGTTTAATACATAAGGCTCTAAAAGTTAGTATGAACTGAGAAGTTTACAGCGCATTAGTTCCTAGTCTTTTCTTCAAACATGCAGCCCAAATAATTTTTTAGTCTAGCAGTTGAGGACTAACAAGATGCAAGATCAATTTTTATATAGTTAGTGCCTGTTTTATATTTTATATTATTGTTGTTGCATATTGTTACCAGTAGATAGTGTTTGAAAAAGTCAGATTTTCAGAAGTTCATGATGAGAAGTATATTATTAATATTACCTCTTTAGACCATATTCTGTAAAATATACACTGCAAGAGTGAGACATCGTTGTCTTTTTTAATTTAGCATTTTATTTCATTTTTAGTGTTATCTTGAAAGGACTTCCACCAGGATCATATTTTTCTGAAGGAGATCACAAAATCCAATATACTGTGTATGACAGAGCTGGGAATAAGGGAACTTGCAAATTTTTGGTCAAAGTCACTGGTAAGACCATTTTCCATCTGGAAACAAGCCTCATCTTGAACCCAAGCCCCATTTACATGTTACTTGAAAATGTCAACTAGCTTCCTGAATCTACCCATCTGGGTCAAGATTCAGAGTTATAGTTCTAATATACCTGGAAGGCACTAATGTTGGAAAAGGCTGATGTCGACAGCACAAAATAAATAGGAGACGGCCTTTTAAAAAAAAACATATGGGGATAGTAAGTTGATGCATTCTGTATTGCTGAACTACAAACCCATAATCTCTATTAACAATGCTGGCTGGGGCTGAGGGTGGTCATCTCTTGAGGATATCAGGTTCTCTCTCAGACTTAGATAATTATAGCTTTATAGTTTAGCACAGTAATTTGTCATATAATTCTTTAAAGGAATACTTTGCTGATCAAACCTGACCTCTTTATTGGAAATGGCAAATTGTGTTCCTCCGTTTTTGGAAATAGTTGGGAAAGAGATATTGGGAGGTGGGAGGGAGGGGAGCACCAATAAATGGCGCTTTGGTCTTAGTTCTGTCACAGTATATCACTGATAAGAAAGGATATATTTTAGCATTTGTGGGAGATTTATTTGAAAATGATTTATACATACCCAGTTGTCTCAGCAGCTGATACATAAATGAAGTTATATCTGCTTTAGATATAGCAATGCACATAGCACATCGCATTCTGTTTACTAAAGTGACATGGCATACTTAGAAAATATCTGGAGGTTGAGTCATGCAACTGGACTTCTTTTCTTTTTGGTTTGATACGTTGGTTTGATACTCACCCAGCCAGAGAGAGATGTCCTAGCAAAGGCCTCAACTTTGCCATCCCTCCCAAGTATGTTCCTGGGGTGGAGTTCATCCCAGCCGCAGACTCTGCCATCCACAACAACAACCTGCCCGTTGGAGAAGTAGAACAACTCCGGCTGAAAATCTCCGCAGTACTAACTGGTGCTCAACCTCTTCCACCCAACCTTACCACCCAAGAGAGGACAGCCCTGACAGCCCTCAGCAAAGATGAAACCATTACCATCCTGTCGGGAGACAAAGGAAGATGCACAGCTGTCCTGAACTCTGCAGACTACCACAATAAAATTAATTCACCTAGATTGAAGAAGCTGCTTGGACAAGCAGCGAAACGTATCAAACCAACAAGAAAAGAAGTCCAGTTGCCGTGACTCAACCTCCAGATAATTCCACCTGGATGACTGAGAATCTACATCAACTTAGAAAATAGAAACAATCCATTTCAGTTTGCAGTTGAAATTCTCGTCTCAGCAAAGAGGTATAACTAGTGGCATTTTGTTCTGGCTTTAGGAAAAGAAGTCCAGTTGCCGTGACTCAACCTCCAGATAATTCCACCTGGATGACTGAGAATCTACATCAACTTAGAAAATAGAAACAATCCATTTCAGTTTGCAGTTGAAATTCTCGTCTCAGCAAAGAGGTATAACTAGTGGCATTTTGTTCTGGCTTTAGGGTCACTGTGATCACTCTTTAAATGATAGTGCAGTATGAAAACGGGATTTTAGCCAGATATTCTTTTTATTATCCCATGATATATATACTTGTTAATTAATTAACCAATAATAAAGAAATCTAAATCTTTGAGGAAGGTAACTAGATTTTCATTTTGATGTATTGGAAGTGATAATGGATTACTGAATGCTCCTCTTATTTTGTATTTAAAGTCAGGCGCTGTGGAAAACTGAATGCCCCAGACAATGGCTACATAAAATGTTCTGGTGATGGAAATAATTATGGTGCAACTTGTGATTTTTCCTGCATTGGTGGATATGACTTGCAGGGAAGTCCAGCAAGAGTTTGCCAGTATAATTTAGGCTGGTCAGGAACAGACCCAACCTGTACACGTACGTGAGTAATGAATAAATCCTGTAAGAGGGAAGCATATAGATCAGAATTATTTGAAACATGACTTAACATGATACCTCCAGGTGCTTCAAGGTTTTGGTTAACATAATTTACATGTAGATTAAGTAGATAATATTTTGCCAATAAGCAATAAAAAGATTTCTTATTTCAGTGTATAAATAGGCTGGCAAAATGTCAGTCAACACAAGCTCTTTATCTTTGTATTCATTATATTAAGGTCAAGAAAGTTCCCACTTCTTCCATAGGGCTTCAGTTAGAGATCTATGGGAATTCATGGAAGGGTCTCTAAATGTAGTGAGCTTTCTGTTTCTTTCCCCAAGTTTTCCCCATTATAATCCTCACTTCTTTCTTAAACTTAAAAAACAACTGATGCTGTAGTGTTCAGAATTGGAAGTGAAGAGCTTTGTGGAACACACCCAATGAAGGGTTATCTGGATTATGAACATTCATGGATGTCCTCTGACTCGAGTATTTCTCTTCATCCCTTTCTTCTGTGGATTTCTTGTTCTTTCTTGATAAATGTTGTTTGTTAAAAGGACAGACTTGAGGTTTTATTTCAGTCCAAGAGTAGGTATATAATGAATTCAAAGGGGGAAAGGCTCACATAGCGCTTGTCTGCAGTTGTTTAAATTAAATGAGCCTTCTCCTGAAGTTGTGCTGCTGCTCCAAAGGCAGTTAAGCAATCCAGGGAAAAAGTACAGTTGCTTTAAGAAGTTACTGGCAGATGCTATATAAACAGCCTCCCACATTCCAAAGCATCTTTCCCCTTTCAAATGCAAAGCTACACCACCAACTCATAAATAACTTCAGAAGTTGCAAATTAATTACTTAGCTGGACTGTGCTGTAGCCTGGATTTGAAAGGGGAAAATAGTTTGGAGTCTGAGTGGTACTCTCATAAGATCTGTTGACAACATTTAAAGAAGCTTATCTTTCTCCAGAAGCCCACACAATCCCAGGAAAAGATACATTTGGTTCTGAAACCCTCTTTTCCCATCCAGTTCCCTGCACAGAGATATAATTTAGAGCAGTGTTTCTCAGCCTGGGATTCTGGGAGTTGAAGTCCACACCTCTTAAAGTTGCCGAGGTTGAGAAACACTGATTTAAAGTCTGGAAGAAGCAGTAACTTGTTAGACATGAGTGAAATAAATTAAGCACAATTCTTCCTTTTTATGCTTGTTGCAAGATCCAAGAGATTTACCAGTTAACATAGACAGAGTATTTATTTAGTGTCTAGATTTGTAACTTATTTGAAGGTGATGATGTAAGGTTGGTTGGTCGCTGCAAAGAATTGAAATAATCTTTAAACCTTGGCATTAGCTGATAATTTTTCTGTCAATATTTCTCTGTGATATGTTGTTTGAACATTTTCAAGTTTTATATAAACATGGTAGGGTCATTCACTTTTTGTATATCTCTTCAGCTATGAATATTAATATTGGTGTGAGGACAGCAGCAGCTCTTCTAGACCAGTTTTATGAAAAACGAAGGCTGCTGATTATATCCACTCCTACTGCAGCCAATTACTTTTATAGAATGCAGCTGGGAATATTGCAGGTAAGTCAAAGTTTATTATATGTAAGTAGAATTTAATTCTCCCCCCAAATTAATATAGATGAGCAGTGTCATTAATATTGTTTTCTCCTTTATTTTAATACACATTATGACAATTTGGCTCACATATTCACAAAGGGCTGATTAAATTAAATAAGTTCCAGGAGAGTTCTTGTTGTAGAACAATGGAGGTGATTCTCATAATTTCCCTTTAAATCCACCCACCCCTACCATGCCACCACTCACTCTGTTCTAGAAAAACCTTTAACCTATTCCAGATTAAATGGGAGGGGCAAGGTGGCTGCAGAGGAATCAGCAAAGTTGTCTCCTCTGACATCACTGCAGTAATTCATCTTAGTGGATAATGGTCTTCATATGGTTTGGAGTTATACTTATTTTTTTCCCCTTCAGAATGAATCTAAAACCTTCTGCCCTATATAGGGACAATAGCTATTGCTCTTGTTATTCAGGGTCCCTTCTACCATGACTTCTTCCACTCCATTTAAAGACTGCTTCCCTGCCCCTCCCCATAAATAAATAAATGGTCCATATACAGAATGAAATGAGACTGTTTGTTCTGGATATGGGTCAAAATACTTCTAGGCAGAAGTCATTCAGGGAGGCTTAAGAATGTGTATGATGTGAAGCAGGGTTTGGAGTTTGAAAGTAAATTCATTTTCCATTTCATGTGTAACCCCACCCTTTTTGATAAGTCTTCAGAAGTGAGGAATAGTTTCTTCAGCATTAAATTATTTCACAATTAAGAATATTTAATAAAATTAGTCTCTAATCTATTAATGTTGGCCATGTCCAATTATATTTGTAGACAGTAAGGAAGATAACCTTGATGGAAATATACAAGAACCACACACAGGACTGAAATATTTTTTTAGTCCAAAGCAACAAGATAACATTTGGAAGTGACTGAGGCAGATGCCTCACTAATTCACTGGAGTATAAAAAGGGGGAGGAGGTACAGCACAATCAGACTTGCAAGATTCTGTTGTTATAGCCAATCTCAATGTTTTAGCCTTCCTGTGGAGTTGACTTCCTGATCTGGTTTACCTGGTGAGGCTGAAAATTTGTGAGGTGATTAGGGCATAAGTGGTTGTCTGAAGGGCCTCCCACTCTAGGAATGCCACACTAGATGGACTTGTGCAAAGGCCTTCCTGGCCACAGCTGCCACCTGCTCTTTGAGCAGAGCTGTGAATCCGGGATGAACCCAGATTGTGGACCAGTCTTGAATGGGGAATTGCAACCCCATTCAAGAACGAAGATGAAAAATCTTCAGATCCAGGAGGCTCAAATAACCATAGTCATTTGGTTTTGCCAGGATTGAGCCTGAGTCTATTCCTCTCATGCAGATCCAAACAGCCTCCATAGATTGGGTCAGAACATAGACAGTATCACCTGGGTAGCTCAGGGTCAAGATGTATGATTGGTTGTCATCTGCATACTGATGTGATGATACTGGACCCAAGTGGATGGAGGGCCTCACCCAGCACTTTCATATAGAGGTTAAACAGGTGGGGTGAGAGTGTTGAGTCCTGAGGCACTCTACAAGTGAGGGGCAATGAACCAACCACAGAGGAAGAACCACTGCAACAGTGCCCTCCCAAATCTTTGCAGCCAGTCCAGAAGGATACTATGGTTGATTGTATTAGAAATCACTGGGAGATCAAGGAGCATAAGGTTGGATGTGCCATCCCCATCTCAGTTCTGCAACCAAAGAAATAAGGAGGCTGTTGCTCATACAAAGTTTTGTAGGCCAAATTTAATAACCCTACATTAATGATTATCACAAATTGCATTGTATGGGTGCTTTTCATAATTAATCCACTTGATTATCTTCATATCTTACACAGCCAGCACAATGTGGTTTAGATCTCCGGCATGTTACAGTGATTGAGTTGGTTGGAGTTTATCCAGCACAGCTTGGAAGAATAGGATTAAGACTGATGCCTCCTGCTTTGGCTTTACAACTCAGGTAAATTACACAGACTCTAATTATATGGAAGAATTCCCTCTGGCTATTTGCCTTTAAGGTCTTGATTGGATTTTTAGAGCAGGACCTTGTGGTTTTCTTATGCAAACAGGATTCCTAAATAGAACACCTTGTTTAAGTAAATGTAACTTAATAATCTGCACATATATAAAAATGTCATGTTCTTTAAAATCCAATCTTTTCTCCACTAGTTTGTGATAAATGGTTACATTCTCGTTACTCTGCAGAGACTGTATGCTGTGCATGAGCATACTACTGTCTTTCCTGCATTGCCAAGCAGCTGTGGGAAATAGTAATGCTCTAAGATTAGTTTTTTTCCAGTATTTAGAGCTGTAAAATGTTATCCTGATTAACTGTCTTCTAGTTGAATGTCATAATTCAAGATCATAATTGGAACACTCATAACATTATGGTTTGATCATAATAAAAGCAAATAACTTTCTTAAACTGTAAAACAACAACTTTTCCTACTCAGTAGTACAGAGTAATATTTCGGTACAAGGACAACACTGATTTGTTTTTTTAAAAAATACGATCTTCTCTGGCCTTTAGTCATAGGAGTGAACAGCTATCCTGATAAATGCAAACTAATACTTTCAAAGAGTACCAGAGGTGTGGAGTGTCTGTATACACTGAAATAAATTTTTCTAAAGCAAGAATAAAGTCAGCATGCTTCCCCTCTAAACACAAGATGCAACTTTTCTATATTCCTTGAAATTATGAATACACTAGATATGCAAGATATTCACTGCAATCCTAAATACTTTAAATTTATGTCCCTGTGAGAGGTTTTGGCCACAGCAGAAAATACACATGGTCAAAAATGCACTGTGAGGACTGGATTATCTTTGTTTAGTATTTAACAATTGTACCTGGAAAAAGGATTATTTTCCTTTTCAGATATTGACTACTGGGGGATTTCAGATATTATATACTGGGAGATATACCCAGGAATATTACTGTATATAGCAAATGAAGATCAATTTCACCCACATATTGACTTGAGAAGCAGCTCCAGGAAGCTGGTTAGTCACTCCCTTCCAAATAATGGTCACCTTCATTGATGATTGCTTTGGGGTTGAAGAAGAGAAGGGTAATCTATTCTGGCCTCCTGCCTTAGCCAGGGACCAAGGACAACTGAGGGGAAGAATAGCAAAGAGGGATTAGCTTAGCTTGACCACTTCGTTCTGCATATGAAGAAGTCTTCTTTCTTCCTTATATTTCTTCCTGTTTTAGTTTGTAAACTGGCAGACAGAGACTCTTTGAACTGATACATGCTACTTTGGGACATATTGTCTAGAAACAGATGCTCTTGAAAGGCACTTCAGTGGTCATGAAAATGGGCAGGGGTCATGATCAGGAGTGCAAGATGCTGCTTAGTGAAAGAGAAAGGAAATTGTTAACAAACTTCTCTCCCTTCATACCCTCAGGTTGTTGCTTCGTATCCCTCACTATAACTTTTATATGGTAGTAGTTGATAAACATGGTGTGGACAAAGAACGATATCCTTTTCCAGCAACCCCTGCTGAGCTCTTTGCACTCATTGACACTTTCCCCTTGAGAAAAGAAGAGATGAAATTGCAAGCTGAAATTGGCCGGTCTTGTCCCTGATTTCAGACTATGGGCATTCAGATGCCAGTATTTTTGCTGCCTAAATTTTTCTGGTGCTACACAAAGCGTGAGATTATGGAAGTCACTGCTGTACAGATCCTTTTTCTTAGTATGTGTGTGTCTAGCCTAATGGATGTTGCAGAACTTCTTTTCATGTAACCTATAAATGATGCCTCTTTATCTTGTCAAAGATTTATTTTCTTCTGTGAAAGGTATTGAATTGCTTTGGTTAACACTCCAGAATAACATTTCTTCCCATGTAAATGTTTTCATTTCTTTTTACAGATCTTTTATTAATAAAACAGTTTTGCATTTTGGAGGTTTAGTATTTATATTAACACAGTATTTCAAAGGTGATTTTTTTTTCATTCAGCAAAAAAGGCTCCAGACTAAGTTTAGAGGAGTCCCACTGATTTCAGTTGGACCAAACATGAGTGAGCTGAGATCCAACATTATTAGGCAACCCACAGAAATTTATCTTCTTCTGTTATCTGGCTATATGACTTCATTGGGATACAACACAAACTAGAACTCACACACCCAGGTTTTAGAATGATAGTTAAAATAAAGATGGAGCTTTTTTTTATATGTAAAGGATTTACCAAACTTTTGTGTAAACTTTTCTGGCAAATAATTTGAGAGTGGTATTACAGCTTACATTTGCAAGTCAGTTTTCAAAAGATGGATTCATAGATAAGAAAATCTGATACACTGATTTGTAAGCAGTAAAAATGAAGTTTAGGTCTTTCACCAAGCAAATCAAATTGATGCAGTCTTCTTAAGCTTGAATGAATGAACTACATTTCTTTTATGTACTTTACTAAACAAATCTAGATCTAATCATGTCTAATGACAAACAGCAACACTCAGTTCTGTTTCCCATTAACTATCTTGCCATTTTATTGTAGTTTTAACATTAGAATGACAATATTAAAAGAAACAGCTGTCTGGAAAATCCTTGTGCCTTTTATTGAAGAATGAAAATATTTCACTGGAATGTGAGATTTATAAACTCTTGACCACTGAAACAGATAATGTATTTGCCTTAAGTTCCTTCTTGGAGTGACTTTCATTCCCAGTTATACAGAACTGTAATTAAATAGCTTTTCATGATATGACAAATATAAAATCAAAATATATACCTTTTCCATTTTGGTATTTTAATTCTGGCAAGTAGTACATATTTTTAAGTGTCTTTAAAATTAATATATAATGAGATTGGCAATATGTAGAATTATAATCTCCAAATCTGATTAGTAAAATGCTAAAAGCCTACTTGTGTGTTAGTAAATTCTCCATCAATTTGAAAGGCATTGACTTAATTTATTGAAAAAATAATTAATAAAGAATTGGCCTAAAATTCTAATAGATGTATGAAGCAATTAGAGCTATAGAATATGTTTGAAGACAATATGCCTCAGACTATTAGATGCTTTTAGGCCTATTGTATGATTCCTGGAGAAAGCTGTTTTCCCTGGTAGGAAATGAGATACTTGGCTAAATATACTATCATGAGGGTTGCTATGAGTAATGAACCATGCAGAAACAGAGAAGGTAGAGTGGATCTATTCCTAAACATTATACCATTTTATATACAGTTGTGAAAAGTGTCCCTTCAGTTTTGGTTATTCAAATGTGTCTTAGCTATCAGAATTTTTCCAGTTAAAATATCTTAAACATGAATTAAAATGTTTACATGATGAATTTTTAATTGTACACAAAACAAGACTTTACTATAGCTACAAATAAGAATAACCCAACTTTCTATAAGTCATATATCTGAGTGTATAAATAAAAGTAGTACAACATAAAACAAACATAGATGGGCAAAACAGTTTTGTTTAGTGTGTTTGTGTGTGTATCTCAGAAGTATCATTTAATCATTCATCACAGGATTTTTTCAAGACCACAGAACACCAAACAATTTGTCTTAATATGGAAACACCTATGGCTATTGCTTTTTAAAAAGAAAAATAATATTGTGAAAGCACATTTACTTTCCCTTATCTTTTATACATTTATTTTAAACTTTAATGAGATGCATGAGCTTGCATAAGATGGCAGAGTTGGAAGTGAAACTTCATAAATGAAGCTTATGAATTGGGTAAACATTCAGTCTGTTTGAATATTTGTGGATGTAGTAAGGGCTGAAAATTCACTTTCACAAAAATATGTTGATGCGATCGACAATAGGATCTTCAGTTTTGATTTAAAGCTCATTATATGAGAACTTCCATCCAAAAGTCTTACACTGATTTTTTTCCCCAGGCTTATGGAATACCTCAAGCTATTCAGGGAATATTGATGTTTCATGGAACATAATTTAAGAAGTACTTATCTGTACTGCTCATACCCAACATAAATATTTCCAAATGATGAAATTATAATATTAATAAATACTATAGAAAAATATCTGACTGCTTCTAACACACACAACAAAATATTTTGCTGATAAAAATCAAAACAAGAGCTTTCTTCTACATCACCAATACCATTTGATCAATACTAACAGGATAAAATTCTGCAGGATAATAGGTAAAATGTGCAGTTTGTGTAATTTATTGCTACAGTTGAATTAAGCTAGTGAATTTGTTTAAGAATTATATATGAGAAATAAACAGTCCCTGATTTATTTAGAAGTTGTATTATGACAGGATACATGGCAGTGACTCCATATTCTGCAAGACAGTTAGTCAGAAGAGAGCAACCCAGTAGGTAGTTGGTGCAAGTTAAATAGAGTCTTATGAGAAAATGCGAGCCTGACTCTGGAGATCCCACCATTTAAGGGATTGAAGGAGGATCCATCACTTTTCCCATGTGCTGTCTCCTGTACTTCCATTGCCTTGCTATCACCATTGCTCTTCCCCAAGGCAAGCAAACTTGGAAATCTGTACATTCTGCCCTTTAGGCAGAATGAAGCAGTTGCTCCAGACCGCAAACTGGGAAGGTAGAAGATGAGGATTTCTACTCAGTACGCCACACATCCTGTCTACTCCTTGACACTGCTGCTCTCATGGACTTAAGTGTAAGACCAGCCAGGTAAGATGACAAATATTCCATGTACTGTATACCTTAGTATGTGTAGTTTAGAAGATCTACTGCTGTTATATCCTTGGCTTCCATTCCATTGTTATCAAACTCAGATGTACATCTCAGAAAGAGTAGAGTGCATATAAGTTGGGTATGGAGTAAAAGATCATAGCCTTCATTTAATTTTTTTTCCCAGCATTATCAAAATGAAGACTTGGTATCCTAACACAGAGATGTACTTGCTTTAAGAGCTTATAATTTTAGCAATATCACCTGATGTTAAGGTTTTAAAAACAAGGTATACACTGAATTTATAAACAGGAAAAAAGTGGTAAATATCTGTAAAATAGTTTGGCTGTGTAATAATACACAGAAATACAACAGGAAAAGAAATGTCTTAAAAGTCACCAGCTTTACTCATTAGTAGCTGGTAGCTATGAATTAAACAATTATAGCAAGGGTGACTTAATTAAACCAATCTTTCTTAGGTTTCTGGCACTTTATATAAATTTAAAATAATAGTACTTTTTAATCCTATTTTGATTTAAAGTACATATAGCACTCTGAAGAGTGTACCATGGAAACAAGCAAACAGATCAGAATAATTTGGGGAAAAATCAGATGTAAAAATCATTTTCACTGTTTCACATATTTGTTTAAAATACTGTGAGAAAAATATATCTTTGGGTGAATCTTTGGGTGAAAGAAGCAAGTTTTAGAGGCCTCAGATGAATCTTGCATGATCCCTTCAGGCAAGAAGGATCATCCATGGCTGTATCTGCATGCCTATTAATTACAAGGCAGCTATTCTGATTTTATGCTTTTCCTTCTTCTCATGATGTATTCGCTGATCCCATTGCTGACACCAGTTTCTGTGGTATCAAAATGCAGGACACAAGGCAAAATAATCAAGGCTTCACTGCAGTGTTTATTAGGTAGTATGTACTGGAGGGGGACTCCACCAAAGGTTAGTGGGAGACACTCCCCTGTAGGCAAAATGGATGCCCTGATATTTATGCAGTTCTACAAGAAAGGGGAAAGGAAAACAACACATACGTATACATATTCATATGATGATGCAGGCATACCTAAATGAGCAACACTTCTCAAGTTATTTTCTGTCCCTGTTCTTGGCTGCTATCTACAAGGACAGAACAACTGCTATCTATGAGGAAAGCAGTAGTGTCAGAGGGGAAGAAACAAATTGTTCAAGGTGCCAAATGCCAGGAAGAAGACATCCTCCCTTATGTTGTTATGGGGATGTTTGTGATAAGGGGTTTATAATCAGCCTAGTTCATACCCAGCTTCAAGGGTGTTGCACATTCCTTTATGTTTCAATTTTATTAAGGCGATCCCATTCATCTGAGGCCTCTAAAACTTGCTTCTTTCACCCAAATTATGTTGTTATGGGGATGTTTGTGATAAGGGGTTTATAATCAGCCTAGTTCATACCCAGCTTCAAGGGTGTTGCACATTCCTTTATGTTTCAATTTTATTAAGGCGATCCCATTCATCTGAGGCCTCTAAAACTTGCTTCTTTCACCCAAAGATTCACCCAAAAATATATTTTTCTCACAATACAACAAAAACTGTGAAACCAAAAACAGATTTTTCACTCTGTAGGTTGGTGCTAACATAAATCTATACTCACAGTCCAGCCTTTTGGGTAGCAGCTGGTGTTTCTCAGTATTTTCATAAAGCATCAAGACATTTCATGGAAAAAAAATCAGTAAACTTCAAATATATACCAATGCAGTTCCATATTAAAGAAGTATGATTCAGAAATCATTCTTGTAAAATTACAGTTTTAGATTACTGAAGTTTGAGTTGAACCTAAATGATGACTTAATCAAACCCGGTTTACATATAATACTAAGCCAAAAACAACCAAATCAGATTAAAGATTTCTTACCCGAGAGACAATGCCCCTATGACTCTGGATACACAGAGGCAACAGAGGGTGTGCTTCTCCAGTGCCTGTACTACAGAAACATTTGTACTAGCCTCATCTCACCATTACTGCATAAATACCCAAGGGGCACAGGACAGTTCTACACCTCCCTGCTGCTTTCAGGTACCCACCCTGCTACAACATGAAATGTTGCCAGGTTCTGTGTAGCAGGGTTCAAAAATCATCACATGGTGACCTGTGCCATAAACTAGATTTAATGAGCATCTAGTTCTCCATACTAGAGTGCTCTGTAATTTAATGTATTTAATAGATACAGCCTTCCACATACTAACCTTTATGCTCCCCTATACCCATCTAATGCTCCTATCCCTCCTTTTAGATTCTTTTAGACTCTTGTTTTTATATATATACTTTCTGTTTTAATACATATATTTTTTAATATCTTCTACCTTTTTATAACTTTTTTTAGACTCTGATGTCTAAATTTTAATTGACTGTACCCCATCCTCCTTATGCTGGTCTAGGACCATAATAAAGAATTGATTTGATGATCTAACAGAATTAATGCACTTATTCTTGTAACTGGAGACAAAGCTATACTTGAAAACCCACTCATGTCTCAGCATGACGTAGATCTTAAATAGCAATGTACTCTTCATGAAAGTAAAGAAAAGGCTGAAGGAACTAGGTCTGCACTACTAAAGGAGAGACAGAGTGATTATGAACAGTAATTTTAACATTGTCAAGTGCTTAAAACAGGTTTTGGCTATTCACTCCACTCACAGTTTCTAACAGGGAGGTAGTTTTACATTAAGCTATTAGAAGTGATTCCTAACTGAATTACAGTGCAATTACCTAGAACAGTGTTTCTCAACCTTGGCAACTTTAAGGTGTGCGGACTTCTACTCCCAGAATTCCCCAGCCAGCAAAGATAGTTGGAGAATTCTGGGAGTTGAAGTCCACACATCTTAAAGTTGCCAAGGTTGACAAACACTGACCTAGAAACTCCCCTTTGGGAGGATCATAAAGAAGGGTGGGCTGGCATTACTAATACCTGTTTAGGACAGAAGTTAGATTCTGTGCTTGCTATTTTGCAGTCTTTCATATAATGTCGTCTAATCTTGATCAAAACAAAAGTATTTAGGTATCTGTACAGTAGGATGTCAAACATAACATCAACAATTACTTTTGAGTGGCTGTTTAATACTTTTATATCTCCACTTTTGTAGAAAGTGCTGAAATGCAAAAGGTGCGACGCCAATGAGATTTAATTTGTAATACCAGCAATACAATACCTCTAGCCCATGCCAATAGCCATTCTGTTTATGAGCAGGTAGCCTGAGATTCTCAAACTCTTTATTATGAAGCTTGTTGGGAACCATTTGTGGATATTAGCCGGAAAATATTAGGAACATAATTACTCTTACAGCTAGCCTCCAGTGCTGGCACTCACTTCCTTAGCTCATTGGGCTTATTTGAAATGGGTTTATAATGAACTAGCCTCACTGACTTCACTCATTTATTAATCACTGATATTTCTTTTCTGAGAAAACATATTGAAATAATAAAAGAAGCTCTTTGGGTCACATTCTGTAGAGGGTATGGCCTCATTTTAACTACTTAGCAAATCTAGTTTTGGAAATGACTTAACTGACTTAACCTGGGTAAGTTAATACAAGAGCTAAAGTATGGATTTGGGAAAGTGCTGAATGCATTCATAATCCACTTCAGAAAATTTAAATTCAGAGAGAAAGTAAACTTCTCTATGTTTACATGTGCAAATCATGACAGGAGACCAGCCTCCATTACATCTTATTAAAATTTAAAATTACACTAATGTCAATCTTATGCAAACCATATTCCTCTAGAGTCTGCGTTTTCCCATGCTAGATCTCAGCATTAATACACCTTCCACAGAATCTCCAGGACAGTCAATCATTCTTTGCCAAAGCAGTCGCTCTTCTCCTTGAGAATCCATCCAGTCAACTTCTTTGCCATTGCTTATACCTGGAAAATTGCAAAGCACGGTGGTCAGCTTATTTTTTTCAATCAGATAAATCATTCCACCATCCATTCTATCCAATATTTCATAAAAGTCCATTTCACAACATCTGCAATGTTTGTAGCAATGGTTCAGAACACATGGTACTCCAAATTCACAAGAACTACAGCAACTCTTATCAAACTGTCATCTATAGCCCCAGTTTCCATACAGAGTAAAACTGACAGCTTCATTTAAAATGAGCAATATTTACATTTAGATTGGGATTTAGTGTTTAGCTCTGTTCACAGCAACAATATATAAAAGACTTAATAAGAAATAATATTCACATTACAAACTGGAAACTAATTCCTATACTGAATTCTTACAAGAATGGTGGGATGGAGAATGAAATCCCTTGAAAGATAAATCTAAAAACTCCCATTTGACTTTGGTGGTATTATTATCATCAACATCATCATCATCATCATCATCATCATCATCATCATCATCATCACCTTAGCAGTCCTTGTTGGG